TAACACTTTCGTTTTCGTTTAAAACCGCAACGCAACTGACGACACACCTGAAAGTACCTATGTGAAGTAATTAGTTCCGATCAGCTGTCTGGTGGCGGCTTTCGTGTGACTAGGAGCTGTGCGTCTTAATTTGCGAGATTAATTCAAATTTACTTGGGTGCATTTTCCCCTTGTTGTGGTGAGGCGGCAACGAATGTGGTTTTTTTTTCATGAAGTTGTTTAAGTGTGTTCGAATGACGAACTCTGATGTGAGCAGTTCCACGCCAACTGACGAATCAGAAAAAACTCGACCTTCTTGCACAATTGTTTGTTATGGGCAATGATTAAAAATTTTGCTAAAATTCGGCCATTTTGGATCTTGTAAAACTTTTAAAATGGCTTCTTGACATTTTTCAATAAATTGTAGTACGAAAACGTCACTTCTGATCGAAATGACGTCTGACACAAAGTTGTAGATGTTATTTTTTTATTGTAATTTTGGGCATCTTTGCTAAATTCGGTCATTTTGGATCTTGTAGAATTTTTTAGTAAAATGGCATCGTTGAAATTAAAAAAAAATTAGGGCTGAGACGGCACTTCCGATCGAAATGATGTCTGAGACAAAGCTGTAGAGAAAAATAATGTTTATCTGGGAAAAAATTCACAAAACAATAATTTCAATGATTTCATTCATTCCAAAAATGTTGAAAACCTAAGTATCTCAAAATGTCCACAACTTTTGAAATGTTTCTAATTATGGACACTTTTTGACAAAAAATCATACAACAAGATCATGTATTGCAGCAAACAGGAAGTTTCATTCAACCAATTTCATGAGTGATGTCGCAACAGTGTCCGAGATTTTTAGAAAACTTGAAGTGATAGGGCATATCAGTCATCATGATGGTCATCTTTGGACTCTTAAAAGAATCATCTTAATTTTTTTCATGTAATTTATACTCAGAAAAAAATGTTTGAGAAATTTTAAATCATTTTCTTTGAAAAAATACATAAAAATATATATGAAAAGTTCAAAAATGTTAGCAGAAGTTCATGTTTTTCGATTTTTATCAGTTTTTGAAACCATAAACATATCTAGAGTTTGCATTTTTCATAAACAAATTTTGAAAAAAAAATCAAAAATCGTGCAAGGACATTTTGAAACATTTGGGTTTTAATTTTTTTTTCTCTAATTTTTGCTTAAAATAAATAAAAAACATTTTTATATTTCCCAGAAAGACATGATTTTCTCTAATACTTCGTTTCAGTCGTCATTTCGATCAAAAATGTCATTTCCGGGCTACAATTTATTGTAAAATTTCAACAACGGAACATTGAAAATTTTACAAGATCCTAAACGGCCAAATGTTAGCAAAAATGTGAACCCAAAATAAACAATTACACAAAGTTTCAGGCAAATCGGAGAAGGTCATTATTTCACTATTGTGCCTGGAACTGCTTATTTTTGAGCTGTACCTAACTAAATGGCAAAATTTGCCCGAGGGTTGATGGCGATTTTTGATCGTTCAGAAGTGAAATTCAACAATAATCGAACAAAAAAAAAAAGATTTTATAATAGCCACATATAGAAATAATTAACGTTTCTTCTGCATGATACCTAAATTAAGTGCCCAGGACCACCTAGGTCACATACACACCAAATTTCAGCTTTGCAAACCAGCAAAACGGATTATTTACTGGAACAAGATCAGCAGACCATGAGTTATGCCGAAAATCAGCTAACAACAAGGGGTATTCAACTCTGCACACGTCAATCCATGCCGAGTATTGAGCTGTGCCGAAAGTTGTGCCAAATGCTGTGATGAACGTGCCTATCAACGTTTCGATCAAAGTCTGCTATCAAGATGTCGAAAGTTCCATGAGTTTGGCAACCCCGAGAGTTATGATTTTTGTGATTGTGTTTACATTCTCAATTTCTCTGACGGATCAAGGCAAGCATTCAACTTCAATTCATTCTCATTACGAATCGTGAGATGCAAGAGGAAGTGGAAGTCATCCAGCCAGAACGGTGTTCAACCCGTCCAACAGATTCCGGCTCGATGTCCCTTTGAACTGCTGATTCCTTGCAGATGTACAGAAACGAAGGCGTAACCGATCGATTATGGATTAAATTGCCACCTGCTGCCTGTCAAATTTCTTTCCGATTGAAGTAACCGAGAACTCGGACAGGCGAGAGTTCAATCCCAGCCTAGCAGCAACTTCATCGAGCCAGTTTTTAATAAAGCCTTAAATCAATAGTTCTGTAACTAGTAAAGCCTACGGCCGATTTCATAGTGAGTCGAGAATAATGTAAAGAATAATACCTATATCAATAATGGAAATTCTCATTATTTATATTATTCCTTACATTCGTTTCAACGCTTTGCTCGCCTCTTCGCTTCTCTTGGCATCGGCCTCACAGTTGACCGATCGGTAGGCCACTGGCCACACATCGCACTGAGGTCCCTTGATACGAGCTAGTTCAACAGAAGGATGATTACAGATATACATCTGCAAAATAACCGGATTTTTTTGTGACGGGGATAAGCTTGCTGTTGGACTCGTGAAATAGAATGTAATTGCATTTTTAATTCCAATGGAATGGCATCCTATCAATCCTATAATATTGCAATAAGGCAATCGTACACCGATCCAGATCTGATGCAATATGTAGGGTTAATATTTAGGTATTGACATCCCCCAGCAGTTCTGGGACTTCTTTAAAAATTATTCGCACATCCTTATAAAGTCCTGTGGATATCCCATCGAAGTCCATATCAATTGAAACCAATGACTGGCAAGAATATCCGATGGAAAACGCAGGAGAAAAAGTGAAATTTTCCATGCCGTACGATCCTCAGCAAGATCAGTATTGATGAGATTATTTGCGTGGGCTTCCATATTTACTGTCAAAGGAAAGCAGCGGGCATGATTCCATCCTCAAACGAAAACGTGTCGGTCCATACGCCCCAGTTTGACCAGCTTCTAATTTTCGTAGCATTACCCAGCCCCAGCGTAGTCAAAAATTTTCGGATATAGGGTTTTTGATCTAATTTCCGTCCTACTAAGCACAACGCGCACTTTACCTCTCTTTCCTGAACGAGTTTAAACTAAAAATGGAATTTTTCTGTCAAAGATGACTTCTAAATTGATTCACCTTTCCAGACGTACCGTTGGATTTGATAAAAAGCCACAAATTGTTGAGATATTGTTTAAAATCTAATACTGCTTCTTGATTCTAAATTCGTTCTACGAGTTTCAATTCCTTCCAAACGCATTGAAACGCCATTAGATTTTCTTCGTCCTACGGATAAACGTAGAAAAAGGGGATTCGCAGGGAGCGCTTCTTTTGTTTTGAGAACAATGAGCGTAAATATTCATACAATGCGCTCTAACCGGGTTTATGTTGTAGCTAATGAACTAACGCATCTGTCCGCGCAGGTGGGGGAAAGGTCATAGAATCGTTTCTGAAAGCCTTTTGCTTTAGCGTTTGCTTCACTGCAATTATTTTATTTCATTAGATTAGATTATAATAATTTTCATTTTACTCACAAATTTGGTGATTCTTTGTAGCGTGGGGCCTCTCCCTGCGCTTTAAGTTTTAGGTTAGTTTCTAGGTCCTAGGAGTTTAGAATTAGTTTCGTTTTAAGTTTAGATTTAATAGTTTGAACTTTTTACCTCCTTTACTAGATTTTAATAAACTCCAGCACTCCCTAATATAATAATATAATAAAGTAATATAACAGCAAAATAATTTTAACTGTAGCGGTAAGGAACACTACCGACCACGCCGCGAACTTTTATCCAAAAGAAAATATTCTTCCCCGTTTCACTGTCACTGCCGTTGACAGCTCGAGCCACCAGCGTTGACGTCTGTCAATATTTTTGCAGCGGCGCTTTAACAGCCTTTGGAAACGTCGGTTGACAGGGTGGGCAGCTCATCGAATCCTGCATCGACAGCATCGGAACAAACATATTATTGTTTTGTGCACGGTGAAATCATTGATTTTTTGATCTTTTCTGATCGATAGAATGGAAATGGGCGATTACGACGAAGTAGCGCTCTACCCTATACACAATTTCCTTCTCAATTCCAGACTTCTTCAAAATTTCCTCCGCAGCCGGTTTAATTTTGATTAACGTTCCAACAAGGATACGTAACGCGAACGTGCATAAACTGACGTAATCCAGATTTGTTTTTGATTTTCATGATCACGGGATCCAACCAGTCTGCACCATAAGTAGACACAACGGCTTCGTAGATAGTATTCCGTACCGTACCGTCATATTGGACGATCAGATCTTACAGGCTTGGTCACGTTGCTGGAGATAACCCGTTTCAGTCGTCTTGACTGCCATATCGACAAGACCCTCTCGACCGGATAGGGTAGATGAATTTTATTGAAGTCAAGCCCAAATAGAAGCTGTTCTGGATGAAATCACGAGCCGCTGAGAATTTGGCTGTGAATCGGATGAAACTGACTGAGTTTAGCTAGATTTGAAGAGATTGATTGAATCGTTGTTTTATCAGTAAATGACATAAATGACAACAAATTCTCTCACTAGCTTCACTTTTGAGTAAACAAAGTTTTCAACCGAGTAGTTAACCTTAGCAACGATTGGCAAATCGTCAACACAGTGATGCGGTTTTATATTATATTGTATATTAGACCTGTTCATTTTAACAGAAATGTTTGGGATGCACCGGTCAACCGTGATTACTGCTCGTCATGTTAATTTAAACTTCTGTGCAAATTTTCAGGTTATGATTTAGAGGTGCTTCAAGTTAATTGTGGTTATTCTGCGTGGCGTGTGAGGTGAGACGATTCGTGTCACTTATGTCACCCGATTCTCGCAAGCGAATGAAGTGAGAAAAGTCACCCGGATGAACTTCGATGAATTCTCACTGTATTCTCACAGTCGATGTATGTCGAAAATTGTCGCATTGAAATGACGTTTCCACGTGACTATTGTCGATATGCTTGAAGCAGTCGACAACGCAGACAAATTCAATCTAAAAAATGGAGGTGAAGCGGTAAGCATGTTTTCAACTCAAAAATTGAATTGCTCAACTAAAAAAATGTTTTATTTTGTATTTCAGAGTACGCGTAACTAATTGCAAGCGGTTCAATCTGCTTGTTTCCCGTATGGAGGCCAATCCAGCGGTAGCCAAGGGGATGAAATACAGCGAGGCTTTCCACATAAGCAAGGAACGATATGCAGACATTTGGAACGAGTTATGCAGCGGATTGAACAGCCTTGGACCTCCAACTCGATCAGTTCAAGGGTGGCAAAAAGTAAGTAGCCAAGTAATTGTGGTAATTAAAAAAGGGTGTTGTAAGAAACACCTAAGTTTCATAACTCAGCCAAATGTTAACGGATTTAGTTAGTTGTATGAAAGTCATCATAATAATAAAACTGGCGAAATTTGTTAAACTTTGATTGCGTTATGTAACTCGGTGTTTTGGACAACCCATTCCCCCCAAAAGAGGTGTATATAGAGCCAAATCAATTTATGCAAATGTTTATTTCAGGTTTGGACAGATTTTAAGCTGAAGGTTAAAAACAAGCTAAAACACAACAAGCGGGAGGCAAGTGCGACTGGCGGTGGATCAAACCAGATGGTGAATCTTTCACCAAACGAAGAGACGATAGTTAATCTTTTGTCCCTTGATCGGATGGTTAACCACTCTGGTGAGTATTGGTATCATTTGAATTCGAACCAATACCTTCAACCGATTAATTTCATAGGTTCTGTGTTTGGTCTTCCCCAATGCGAGTCTTCTCCGCGGGAAACCACCCTGGAGCATGAGTATGAAGCAGATGATGAAGTCGGGACCGAAAATGTTGAGAACATCGGGAACAACAGTCACACTAATGAAGTTGGAAACAGCAGCAGCTATAACATCCCAAACAGTAGCCGCAAGCGGCGCACCGCAGAAAGGAAGGACGACACAGAAAGGAAGCATGAACTACTGGTTGAGCAGACCAAGTATTTGAAGAAAATGGTTGAAAACTCCAGCGAATGTGCCCGATACGCTCGAAAAATGTTTAAGCTGAAGGAAGACGAGGTGAATAGGAAGGAAGCGTATATGCTGGGAAAAGAAAAACAAAGACAGGAAGAAATTGAGTACAAGATGCAATTATTAAGATACAAACAAAGGAAGCTTAAACTGCTTGAACGCGAAGAAATGAAGGAGTAAATGGACAATGATTGAAGAATGCAAGAAATAATCGGATTGAACGTAATAAAACTTGAATGATTAATTTGGCTTCTAATTCCTTTATTTACATTGCATTTAGTTCTCTTAAATCACATCTTCTATTAAACATTATTTTTGGCTACTACGTCCAACTAAAACTTTATGCTGTCCTCAACTTAGCGTTGTTCGAGAACTTCCATAGGAACTGTTTATAAACTACGCAGTACGTTTTTGCGATGCTTCAGACCCACCATATAGAAATCTTTCTTACATATTTTTGGAAAATGCAACTGACATTGAACTGCCACAGATGCCAAAGTCTTCGATAATGTGGGTTGTGCCATTCCTGCGAACACATCGTTTCCTACACCTTTTTGGTAACTGCCTTCAGCAAAAAATCTTAATGCTGCTGATAGTTTTGTTATTGGTAGCACTGATGAAGATCCAACGGTCACTCCTAGTTTGTGTTCCACTCAGGGCTCTACAATTTCGAAGCTCTAAAATGAACTCGTGTTTTGTTTCTCTCATACATACGTGTTCGACACTTCATTTCTATAACGCCTAGCTAGACTGTCAGCAAGAAACGAAAATAAAAAAGCAGGACGCTTAGAAGGAAAGGCTGGCTGTGGAACTTCTCGTCGTTGCTTTGCTCATCGCTTTCAATGTAACTAACGTCGATTTTCTAGTTAAACGAAGCTCATTATGGCTTTCAATCCCCTTTCACGAACACTCTATCACCGCTCTTTCAATTTGTTTAAAATGCGTTATGTCCCGTTTTCGATCATTTTTTTTTAGATAAATATATGGATGGAAGATAAATTAAAAAGGCAGCCCTACTTTTGCTCAATAAAACAGATGAAATTATCCTTAATAAGTAAAAAAAATCTCCTTAAAATAGATCGGGTTGCTCCTTTAATGATTGATCAAAATACGTTAAAAATCTTAAAATGCTCAGTAAATATTTAAAGTACGCTCCCTAAAATAGAGAAAACTGTACATTAAGCATTTGAAAATGCTCCTTAGTATGCACCGCTTTGCACCATTTTGAAGTGTAATTGTACCATATATCATCGGAAAAGCTGCTGTAGAAAGGTTAATAAGTACCATGTAATCAGCTGAAATGTACAGTAAAAATGCACAAATGCACACAATGATTTACTGAACATTTCAGCTGATTTCATGGTACTTATTAACCTTTCTACAGCAGCTTTTCCGATGATATATGGTACAATTACACTTCAAAATGGTGCAAAGCGGTGCATACAAAGGAGCATTTTCAAATACTTAATGTACATTTTTCTCTATTTTAGGGAGCGTACTTTAAATATTTACTGAGCATTTTAAGATTTTTAACGTATTTTGATCAATCATTTAAGGAGCAACCCGATCTATTTTAAGGAGATTTTTTTTACTTATTAAGGAACATCGTCATTGTTTAATGATTCAATTACCTTTTTACCAATTAAAAATATGACGTGTAATCTTCAAGTGTTTTGACGTGAGAAATGCTTTAAATGTGTTATTTCATTTTCCGTCATATACGTCATGAAACCTCTGTTGATGTGTTTCATGAAAGAGAAAACTATCAAAGTCGAGCGCCCTTTCGCTCATCCGTTTCGACGAAGCTTGAAAGGAAGACCAATGGAGCGACGAGAGAAAGAGAGACAAGCGATTGAACATTTGTTTGTGCACGCCGACTGAGGTTCTAGAATGCTGAGAAGCGGTTCGACTTTAACAGAAAAAGAAAGCCAGCAGTCTCTTCGTCGCATCGATTTGGTCGATTGAAGCTGACATTGTGACGCCCTGGTTCCACTATGTTGAGTAAATATTTAAAGAGGTCCTTCGAAATCCGAAAATATTTAACAAACCTGAAATCAAAACGAACTTGGAAGTTATTCTAGATACTTTATGACAAAAACAAACTTACGCATCGTGGGGTAAATCAAGAGGATTGCTCATATCTCTTAATCTTCGACGTTCCAGGCGCACCATAGCAGCTTCAACGTGAGAATCATCGCTCTCGTCATCACTACTCCAAAATACAAAAGAGCTCATAGCACACGAGATACAAAATTGTTTTAGCACTTATTAATTATCACGGATTATAAATTTCAACTAGTTTTATGGTGTTTTTCGAGTTGAATTCTATTATTTAAAAAGCAGAACCAAGTTTTAAAGCAGCAAAAATGTAAACAAAGATTTCGACTTTAGTATCCAAAGGGCCAATTTTGACACTATCATTTTGGATTAAAAGAAATAGCATGCAAATTCGTTTAAAAATACTTTTTTGTTCCCATTATTGCTCTAGAACATAAATTGGATCCATTTTTCCTTGTTTTCTTCATAAAAAAGTAACTAAGGTCGATAAAACACAAAAATACAAAATACTTATATTCCTGCAAACCAAAACTGCATAGGCCCTTCACAAAAACTATGCAGATTTGACAATTATCGAAATGAACGCCGTATCACTTGCGGTTCACTCTGTCACCGACCTACAAATGAACCTCTCACGGCACCCGAGTCGACTTTCGGAATCAAGTGAGAAGAGTCACGTGATGGTGAAGTGACAATTGTCGTCTCACCTCACACGCCACGCAGAATAATCACAAATATGTTTTTAAGGTAATTTACGGCTTATAATATTTGTATCTCGAGACCGAAACAACGAAAACTGCTGTAACAACTTTCATAGCAAAGCTTAATGTGTTATCTACCAACATTGTGACTAAAGGTTGACTATTCAAAGTGATTTTAGTGAAGTTTGACTTAGCTTCATGCTCGAAGATATCTTAAAAGGTAAAGAATTTTAAAGTATTTGTTCTACGAACTTTCCAACCATATGATATAAAAACGTGTAGTCTACGGCATAATGTTCCTCATACTGTTTTAGAAATATCGTTCAAACATAGTTTTCGTGTAGATTCCATAGATTGAGAGAAAAAAAAATCAGAAAAGAGGCAGTTATATCTAAAATTCACAAGACAACAGAGCCAATAAAAGTTTCAATTAGATTGACAGAACATAGTTGCATTGCTTTTCAATGACGACCGTTGACTGTTTCATTGATAGATGATTTTTTTTAGAACTATGAATCCTCAGTAGACGTGTTTTTTTATCAAAGGCAAGTGTCACTTGAGCCATAACAGCAATTTATAAAATAACGAACATTTTGTCAAAGTGTACCCCATCGTGCCAAACAGTGTGCCATGCGGTGTCTTGGCACAGTGTGCAGAGCTGATTACCACCTTGGGCCTGTTCATAAACTACGTAGACAGTTTTTTAGGATTCTTGACCCCCCCCTCCCCCTGCGTACACAATTGCCATACAAATGTTTTTAAATTTGTATGGGCCGTGGATAATTGTCAACCCCCCCCCCCCAAACTGTCTACGTAGTTTATAAACAGCCCCCTTGGCTAACAATTGTTTTTTAACTGAATACTACAGCAAACATGCATGATCTGCTGGAAATCAGTGGAGAGTTGTCAATGTGTTAGCGTCACAAGCAATCAGGTAAATTTGCACAACAGTTAAAATATGTGTGTAGAGGTTGCCTTGAACTTACATCTCAAATTCTTCGGTGATTTGTTGTTCCAGTTAGTCGCCCAGTAAGTCAGGTATGAATATCGCTGTAGATTAATACTTGCCGAACATATATATTTACTAAGTCAATCTCAACAACTATCATGAAATATGCTTCCTACTTGATGAGAAGAATTCTTTCTCAAGGACCTATCTAATACCTCGTCTAATACGATGGAGGTAGAGGAATCAGCGTATAAAAATTAAATTGAAGTGAAAACTGTCAGCACCAAATTAATTAATGATTGAAAAGTGTATGTCAGTGCTGATAAAAATCCTTTCTTCTACACTCAATTTAGCTGAAAATGAAGAAAACCTTAACAGATAGACCAATTACCTGCATGAATTTGAATTTTGATATAAACAAATTCCCTTGATCTAGGCAACCTCTGAGTATCAAAAATAACATTTGTTTTTCTTCATTCGTGGCTGGATTCTCATTATCGCCTCTGTTGTTGTAAATATTGATATTCGTCTTCATCTTGGTCGGGATGATATTGAGGATCAAATGCAAAATGATTATTTTCATTTTAAACAAATATAGCGCTGAAGAACGTGGTTTTTAGACATAAGTCGACGGCAAATTATTGCCTCAAGCTGAACTGATGATAATATCGATGATTTAGGCAGTGTGGTCGACAATATTCAAAATAATCATTTTGCCCAAAATTTCGTTGATTATTTTGCTTTTGAGGATCACTTCTGATTTTGACAATTTTGGGTTTGATAATCGAGCACTGGTGAATATCAACAAACGCGTATTCGTTGATGTATAATAAACTCATTTGTTCATTTCGCTTGTTTCGTAACTACGAAGATGTTCAAAACAAACGCAATTCATCGACACTGGGTTGAAGCGATACTCCTTGCATGTGATGGTAAATGATAAAAACAGACACTGGTGTATGTTATATTGTTTTTAAATAATAAAGAAAATTCAAGACCACCCAGCAAGCTGCGAATGAAAAAAAAAACGCTTTCCTGATATTTTCTGCAAAATCCTCAGATTTTTGGATTGCTGAAAAAATGAGTAAAATAATATTACAGAAATTTTTACTAATTTTCGGTAAAATGTTGTCTTCAGAGTTGCTCATTATTTTGCTGGAGGGTTTGCTGATCGTTCATGAGGTCCAAATCAAAATAACTTTGCTGATTTTCAGCGATTTAAATTTCGTGTGTATATAAATGATCCGATTGCCCCCGGTTAAGTGGCCATTTTTGGACTTGGATCAAAACTCATCATATCATGCGAAACCTCAAATCAAATGAGAGTTGAAAAAAAGCTTAATGGCATTTATGTCAAGTGGACTACATTGGTCACACCTGGACATGTTCCAGATACCCTCGAGGAAGTGACCTGACCTGTTTCTACCTTGGACCAAAACCCATCAAGCGATACCACAAACTACACGAGAACTTACAAACCAGTTCAATGGTAGTCAAACTGTAACATTGGTCACATTCGGACATATTCCGGTTGCCCACGGCAAAGTGGTCAATTTCCGAATTGGAACACACCCCATTATGCGACACTTTAAATCACATGTGAATTTAAAGACAAGTTTACTGGCAAAGTTATATCCAGTGCTCAGGATCACATTGGCCACATCCAGTGCTGTCATGGTAATTTTAGAGGTGGTTAAGTACTTACTGATTTTTCATATGTGTGCCTCCACCCACCTCAAACCCATGCACCCGTCTATGGAGTGGCCACACTTGTTATTTAGGAACACAGTGCTTTCCCGATTTTGTCAGCTTCTTCTCAAATTTTAGGCTAGTTGGAAAGGCAACGAATGTGATCATCACCTTCATCCACGATGATTTGCTGGATTTGTTTCGTGAAAAAGAAACGGCCAAGGAAATTTGGAGCACTCTGGAAGGAATTTACACCAAAAAGTCGGTTTAACTCATGAACGTCAGGGAACTCATCAATCAATTTATCAATACATTATAAACCTATCTATACCGAATACATTTTTAATGTTTGTACACACTTAATTAAGATCACCGAAGTCGGTAGGATTTTACCGGGTTTCTGGACAGCGGAACAAGTCGGTATCATTTTCAAATGACCGTTACTCGTGAGAAATCATTAAAGTTTACAAATTTTATTTTTTTTATTAATAAATGGAGTAATCTGAACAAAGTCTGTACCAGTTCGGAATAAACTTACAAATAAACGAATTTTCACTGATTTTTTTTAACTTTTACCGAACAGTTCTGTAGTTCAAAATATACCGAACGGCGTTGGCCTGGATAAGTGTGTAGTTTCAAGTGGTGCCAATAGATTCTAAATTCATCAATAAATGGCTCTACTCCGCAAATGGTCACCATTTGCAAGAGAGTTCGTGGGGCAATACCAGGCGGGATTCATGGGTACCCATGCTACCACCGGCCAAATTTTCGCGATTCGGCAGGTTCTGCAGAAATGCCACGAATATAACGTGCACACAACTCATTTGTTCATCGATTTCAAATCCACATACGAAACAATCGATCGAGATCAGCTATGGCAGACTATGCACGAGTACGGATTTCCGGATAAACTGACGCGATTGGCCAAGGCGACGATGGATCGAGTGATGTGCGTTGTTCGAGTATCGGGGACACTCTCGAGTACCTTTGAATCTCGAAGGGGATTACGGCAAGGTGATGGACTTTCGTGTCTGTTATTCAACATCGCATTAGAAGGTGTGATCAGAAGAGCTGGGATAGAAACGAGTGGCACGATCTTCAGGAAGACCATCGTGCTTCTTGGCTTCGCCGATGAACTTTGCGACGATGGCGGGAACGTACATCAGACTGAAGGCTGAAGCTAGGTGGGTTGGACTTGTCATCAACGCATTGAAGACGAAATACATGAAAGGAAGAGGTTCTAGGGAAGGCAATGTTAGCCTCCCACGCCGAGTTCAGATTGACGGTGACGAAATCGAGGTGGTCGATGAGTTCGTGTATTTGGGTTCACTGGTGACCGCCGAAAATGATACCAGCAGAGAAATTCAAAGACGCATTATGGCAGGGAATATACCACGAATTGCACCAGCTGCTGGGAGAACCATCCATCGTCCAAACTGCATAAATTGGGCGTCTTTGGTTGGCTGGGCACGTCGTAAGAATGCCCGAAGACGACCTAGTGAAAATGGTTCTCGAAAGCGATCCAACAGGAACAAGAAAAAGAGGAGCGCAGCGGATAAGGTGGATCGAGCAAGTAGAAGGTGACCTGCGGACCCTTCACAGACTACGAGGCTGGCAACGTGTGACCATGGATCGAGTAGAGTGGAGACAACTTCTTCGGACAGCAGAGGACATCAAAGCCTTAGCCTGATTGGTAAGGAAAGTACAATAAATGGCTTTTTTTAAACATTGCAAGTTTTCCGTTACCCATGTTCGGAGTGTTAAATTATCCTGTAGCTCATGGTGCTGTCTTGAATTTGTAAAAACTGAACTTTTTTTCCTTGATTTTTTTCGTCGATCTTGTTTTCCGTGCTGAGCACTAATGCTACCGATGCCAGGAAGGCAGCTCCCACACCTGGACCCTACCTATCGACCCATCAACTCATGGACCGGGGACCAACGGCTTTACTTCCGGAAGGAAGGCGTGATCAATATTTCAGCGCTCAGTTAGTCTTTATAAAAAAAAAATCGGTTCTTGGAGCTGGTTACTTATGGAGTACCGATGAGTAACCACCATGACAGGCCTGGTCACATCTGGACTTGTTCGGGTTACCCACAGATAAATGACCAGTCTCCGACATGGCTCAAACCCATAACATATGAAAATTTAAAAACAAGTTCAACGGTAGTCGTTGAGTGTCCATGAACACATTGGCCACATCAATACATATTCCGGGTACCCCCGGGGATATGACCAGTTAATAATGGGGACCAAACCCCATCTGGCGACACCCCAAATCACATGAGAATTCATAAACAAGTTCAATGGTAGTCAACTTTTACGATTTCTGAACTCTCAAATGCACAATGCATCAAATAAACAAACAATTGAAAACGCCTCAACTCCATTTTGTAAACAAACCTTGTAAGGCCATTTTGTCGGGAACCGAAGTCCTCCAACGCAAACCAACAAAATGAACCGGTAGGGGAAAAACTCTACCCGATTGTGTTTTAGATTTGCAAATGTAGGTTTCAGTTCGCGAGAAAATTATTGAGGCCTTTTCAATTGTTAGTCTTGAAATTTCATGCTTACTCGTTTATGAAATATATTTTTATTTTCATGATCATGCACAAAGAGATTTCTAAACCTGCTCTATAATTATTTTGAAATGCATGTCTTTAAAATTGTTCCACGCATATTCCGGAATCAATTTTTTTTTCAACTAGGATAGATGTACCAGTTATGGCTTTACGTTTTTATTATGGTGTGTTCCAATTATGGCCTATGGGAATTCCTTAGGCTATAATTGGAACACACCATAATATGAACGTATTACCACAGATAAACAGACATAACTCTTAGAAGAAAATCCTTCAAAAAATATCGTCAAGCGTATTTTGCATGCGCACTAGCACCATCTATCATCCACATTCCCAAGCAATGTTTTGCAACCGGAGCATCCCTCGTGCATGCAATTTTTTCACTAGTTGCTTTTCCCTCGTTCTTTCAACGCGTCAACGTTGAATAAAAACAAACCAGATGGAAGTCAGTGCTGTCGGTTCTACAAAATTTTCCGAAGATCTATAGAATTGATTGAATTCTGCATCGGATCCGTAGGAAAAATTCTCAGAAGCTAAGACTTTTTTTTAGGGATTTGGTTTTTTGCTTAGTGTGCTTTTTCTTTTGCTGGAAACAAGTTTTTAAACAAGGTAATGCATCACTTATTAGTGCCCTTTCTACCACCGCTCATCACTTCAATGTGTACACAGAAGAAAAAAAATAATATGTATCAATCAATGCTATTCATGGTGAAGTATTGAACATCAATAACTGGTAAAAATTGATAGAATATTACAGTCATCAACATGATTTGTTTTCGAATTCTGTGTACATCGTACAACGTAATATTAGGAACGGAATGACTAATGTGCAGCAGTTTTGATGTAATATTCAGCAACTTTTTTTCTGTATTCTTCAGATGTGGTATGTGTCTCCAGTGGGATGTCTTGACCAGTTATCATTTTCAAGAGCTGACATTTACTAACTAGACGTGAAAAAGAACTGGCAACACTGATAAGTTCGAAATGTGGTGGCTTGTTCAATGCTTCAGTGGCGCCACCATGACAAATGCTGGCACATTCCCAACTAAAAGATTATTTGCGATGAATTTGATTGTGAGTGTTATGTCTGTTTGTCTGTGGTATAACCATAATAGGTATACCTACCCTAATTCAATGTCAAAACAAAAACCATAACGCTGTATTCGTGATAAATCATTCAATGGGCTTTTTGGAACGAGAGCGTGACATCTCCATCGAAATCCATAATAAAATCTACTTTAAACATTACTAGCCACTCAGCGAAAACCATTCCTAATTCGGAAGTGCAAACCAATTTATCAGATTTTGCCAAACACGAGATACGAATTAGCAAAACAGTCAAGCTCGTCAGCGAACTTTGGAAAGCGCACACGAACCTAAACGGGAAAACTTTTGCATCATCAAATATTTACAAGAGAGCCCTCTCTTTCGATCTCCATCCCAGGCAGCTCGAAAAACGTACAAAACGAAAAGGTCGAAATACGTACCTACTTCTACTTGTTAAAAAAGATCAACTAAACAACTTGAAATATTAATGCCATCACTGATTTTGGAGACTTAGAGCTCGAACTGGGTTACAGATATAGGCACTTGGTTGCAAGGAGAGTGATAGTTTGGAGATAGGTCATCAGCATTGATTAGGGAATTGATTAGTTTGGGGATTGCGCTGCTGTACAGTGTGGAATAACGACGGAAATGAGAGAGGTCCACCTTTGCTTGCATTCAACGTTGGCTACCAGAAAGTTGATCAATAACACTTTTGCCTCGAAGATAAACTACGGAATTGTACGGAATATAACAGAACAGGAAGCTGAAAGGCATGCTTAGGTGAACTGACAAAACAAAACATGTCCTTTGTGATGACTTACCGTGAACTCTCCGGTGATGGCATCGAAGCCCACGTGGACCGTGTGCTCAAAGTTGGTCGGATAGGAGATGTTGGGCTTCGAATCGTTGTGGGACGCTTTGGAGACTTTGATTTTGTTTTTCAGTGTTTTCTTCTTCCGGTCGGCATCGTCGGGTTCTGTGGAATGGCAGAATTGGATGTTGTGTTGCGTTAGTAACGTTGTTGTTTGTTTTCTTTCTATGGAAATTGAGGATTCAGGTAACACTGGAAAGTGATAAACGGGGCTCCTTTACCTCAGTCGGTAAAGCAGTAGCTATAAAGCAGAATTAGGTGGCTGGATTCAATTATCGGTAGGCGATTAAAGATTAGGAACACCCACCGCCAGGTCGATTTAGGTATTTTTTTACGAAGGTAACGTGATTCTAAATTTGAACTCCAAAATACCTCTAAAATCTTGAGTTAGGCCTTATTTACGGAGATAAAAACTAACTAAGTCAAGAAATTTTCCATCCCCAAAAATTCCTACACCAAACCGGGATTCCTCAGCCACCTCCAGAATGGTCTTGCTTTGTAGCTGCGCTTCCTGAGCTAATGGAGGCCCCCATTTGCTGCCACATTTAATTTGCGACAAATAGTAGCCTGCACAATCCTAAATCATGATCTAGGTCAAAGAAAAACAGGTATGAAACTCCCAAAACTTTGGTTTCAAATGAAGAAAGAATTTGATACGTCTATGAACAACGATGGATAAATGAAATAATTTGCGTCCCTTTTTACCTTATGGTTTAAGAAATGCTTCAGTTATAGCGAAGATATGTATGTTATGAACACGCAAAAAGTTTAATAGCTCATCTTCATCATCTTTAAGAGATGGAGCATTCCAATTAAAAATATTTAATGTTTTAAAATCCATTACTGAATTTCAAAGGCCTTACAAGCAAATTTTACTCCAGTTTGAATAGCATCAAACATGGAGCTAGTTTTCAGCATATTTCTGAAGATTTCTGTAAAAAAAATATTTTAGGGGCAGTAATGATAAGCCAAAATCATAGAAATCCGTTAGAATTATGTTGGCTAAAATATAGATTTCGATTTCTACCAGCTGCAACTCCATTAAACTGCTGAACATTGTTAGTTAGAACAAGTATAGATGAAGAATTTGAAGCTTGTGAGCTGTTTGTACCTACGGGTACGAATGTAGAATTTGTTCCTCGCTGACCATTGTTAACAGCAAAGGAACTACCTGGTCGGGAACGTGGAGCGTTTCCGACCTGTCGCTTAGTATAAGCTTGTAGGACTGCTTTGGGAGTCTTACATTCCCAAAAATTTAATTTGTGCAATTTTCACACTGCCGTACTTTAAACGGAACTATCAATTCTATACTTTCTCCTCCTCATCAATCGTATAAAAATTACCACTTTAGTCTGTTATTTCAAATTAGCATCTTCAACTATGTAATTCGTTGACTTCACGCAGATGTAATACTAAACATATAGTCAAAGTACATAAAACCAGTCAATTTTGCTTTCAGAGGGTCACAATAAGCTATTTGTAATCATCATGAGTGAATACTATTCGTTATAGCTAATCGCTAATTGTAACATTCTGAAAGCGAAATTGACAGATTATATGTGCCATGCACAAACTTTACCTCCTCTACTTGGATCTTACATCTACAAATTATTATTATAATATCTCAAAGTTTCATAACTTCGAAGAGTAGTATTTTAGCTGTAATGAGTAGGGTTTTTGATCTAATTTTCGTCCTAATAAGGACAACTCCCGCTTTACCTCTCTTTTTTGAACGGGTTCGAACAAAAAATGGCATATTTCTATCTAAGATGACTTTTAAATTTATTCGGCTTTCGATACGTACCGTTGGATTTGATAAAGAGTCACAAATTGTTGAGATATTGTTTAAATATAATACTGCTTCTTGATTCTAAATTCGTCCTAAGAGTTTCAATTCCGTCCTAAAGCAATGAAACGCCATTAGATTTTCTTCGTCCAACAGATAAACGTAAATAGGGGATTCGCTAGAAGCGCTTCTTTTGTTTTGAGAACAATGATCGTAAATATTCATAAAATGCACTCTAATAGAATTTATGTTGTAGCTAATAAACTAACGCATCGGAACAAACCTATTATTAATTGGTGCACAGTGAAATCATTGCTATTATTGATCTTTTCAGTTCGATAGAACGGAAATGGACGATTACGACGAAGTAGCGCTCTACCCAGAGATGCCAGATTTACAGACATGTCTGTGAATTTACAGACTTTTATTTTTTTCATAGAACAGACTTTTTAGTTTTTTTCACAGATATTTACAGACTTTTGTAATCGAGGGAAAATTTTAAAATTTATTTGGTTACACTGTCAATTTACACGTGCGATGCATTTTGCAACACGCATTAGAAATTCGCGCGTTATCAAATCCACCACACGAACGAGCTGTCACTGTTATAGACGGTAATAGTTATTGACCTGTCAATGTGCTGCAAGGCTGTATCCAAATCGAACAGTTTCCATACGATTTGACGGATTGTTTTAATACGTCAACTCACGTTGGCCGGTCTATAACTTGACTGTCTATAGTAACTGTCAAAAAGTGAATGAAACGGACAGTGTGTTTCCATCCTATTCCATCTTTTTATTCGAGAACAGTTTTAGCACAGAAAAACAGACATAAATCTCGCAAGTTGTTCATCGAACAAGCATTTGATGGTCAATTTAAAAGTATCGTAGTTGGTAGTACCACCACCTGTAGCGCGCATATTGCGTTTGACGTTTACACTTGCGTTTGACGTTTACAATTCCCTTGCGTTTGACGTTTACACACTACCGCCATCTGTTCAGCGTACTACCCACCACAGTGTATTCAACAGATGGCGGTTATGTTTTAGCAACGATGTTTTACAGTGAGAAATATTCAATGTGTTATGTCTCTTTGTCTGTGGTTTTAGTGCTGAACGAAGCAGCTATTTTAGTCGTTTTGTACCTGAATAAAAGCCGTTAAAAATGTGGAAAACATCGAGAAAAATCGAAGGGAACCCGAGAGGAAACCCCATTACATACTTTTACAAAGGATCAGGCTAAGGAAAATCAATATAAATACTTGCACATCATCATATTCCATGATACCTCAATCGCACGATGCATTTCGGCGCATGTCAAAATCTGTCCACTTTCGGTACCCGGTACATTTGAAAGAGGCCATTGTGATCATTGGGTCTGAATATGTCCACCATTGATCTTATAGTAAAATTCTAATGTGATTTGAGGTGTCGCATGATGAGTTTTTGATATACAGTGCCTTCCCGTTTTTGGCAACACGACCTCATCAACTAATTCTTTCTTCAAATTTGGGCTAGCACTTTCTGGGGATTAATTCATGACATTTCAAGTAGATAGGATCCCCAAGAGGGGTCTTGTGATATCAGAAATGGAATTAAGCGTTGGATGGATTTTATAGAAAGTGAAGAAGACAAAAATCATGTGTTGCCAAAAACGGGAAGGCTCTGTATGATTCTTTTGCGAATTCCCCAGCTGGATCTGGAATTCACATTTTTGTTCATATCTTCGGAACCATAATTCCGACCAAAAAATAAATCAATAGCAATCTATGGAGATCTAAACCACATCTTCTGGCACTTGTACCACTCACATTGAACCATCCATCTCTGCAGAAAGTGAGTGAGTTATATTCATACGAACTTACATACATATATACACACATACAGAAACATTTTCCGATTCTGTTAAGGTGAGTCTATTGGTATAGGCCATTCGTTTATCCGGGTCTTGGAACGAAATTGTATGTTTCAAGATACCATAGCCTTTCGGTACACCTTGGTGTAAGAGAAAGGCAAAAAGGTTGGTATGAGCAAATTGTAAAATATTTATCCAAGTTTTTCTCCCCCAAGTGTGTAATTGCTTGATATATCTTATTTTAAAACAAAAACAATTTACAAATACAAATCCTTACAACAGTGTTAGTGTTTAGTGCCAATTCATCGTACTTGGCTTCGTTGTACAGTACTCTCCATTTCTCGATAATCTTTATTTCGATAATTACTATCTGAATCGTTTCAGCAACTCTGAACCTGATGTACTAACACTTTTTGAGCGTGAAGTGTTTAGAATCATATTAATATGCGTATAAATTGCTCTTTTGTTTGTCGATTTCTCCATATTTAGGTGGTGGACTAACTAAGATCTCACTAAGATGTGCTTGTTTCACCACCACGTGCAAAAGGACCAGTACTAAGTAGCTAACGGATTTCCACATTACACGGCATATAAGATCGACTTAAATTTAAGTTTAAATTACTCAAACTCTAGAAAACGTAGTTTACTTGTAGACTTTGTAGAATTATCGAGCCTCATAAATCTTTTTGAATATGTCGAAAATCGAGGAAAAATTTACTCATTCTACACTCAAAGAAAAAATCACATACGCAATGGAAAATATTCATTAGAATTTCACATTACTTTCATGTGATATCATAATTGGGAATTCCACCACAAAATCACATGAACCTTATGTGTCAAATGAATTTTTTCCTGTAAAAGCTCGGAAAGTTTTACTCAGCCTATGAATTAACTACATTTCTAGAATATGAGTGAGTTAACGTATACTGCGTTAATGGATGCATTACCAACTCCAATTAGGTTCAATTCGTTAAAAGCAGGTCTTTTCTGCTCGAACATGACTTTTACTGAAATTTCAAATTTCGCAAACTATTTCGAGACAAAAGATGATCCCCCCCCCCCCCCCGGGGGTCACACGCAAAACTTTTGTTAATTTTATGCAACTCGATTACAGACATTTCTGAAATTCACAGACATTTTTCGCAGACTACCGAAATAAAAATCTGGCATACCTGGCTCTACCTTATGTTCAGACCTGCAACTAATCAATTATTATTTAAATTATCAATTATAACTGAAGATAATTTAAAGACATTCAAAAAATTTGCAATATTTCAGCAAATTTTCGAACGCAATTCCAGACCAAATAGCAAAAAAAAAAATCAGGCTTGTCCATCTCCAATTTCCATGAAACTTTGCATAAATCTTTGTGAGATAAAGCCCTAGTAGTAAAGGGCGAACACGAAATTATTGCGACACCGAAAATGTCATGCCAATTTTCTTATAATGTTTAGAATCAAACCAAAATTTTAGGGTAGTTTTATACATATATTTACTTCAAAAATCAAAAGAAAAGATAATCGATGGAGCCTTGAGTGTAAAATTGAACGCATTTTCGCTTGATGCCCTCCATCAAAGTCTTTACAGTGTCATCCGGTACCAGTTTCTCAGTTTTTTTTTCATTTTCTTAACATGTCCTTCTCGTCTTTGACTATCTTCTTGCTCTTCAGAAGTTCCCGCTTCATTATTGCCCAGTACTGCTCCACCGGGCGCAGCTCCGGACAGTTTGGCGGATTCATGTCCTTTGGAACAAAATGGACAGAATTGGCCTCATACCACTCCAGGACACTTTTAGAATAGTGGCATGATGCCAAATCTGGTCAAAATAGCGGAGCTTCGTCGTGCTGCTGCAAGAACGGCAAAAGGCGCTTCTCGAGGCACTCAGATTTGTAGATCTCGCCATTTACTGTGCCCTTTGTCACGAAAGGCTCACTCCTCAGTCCGCAAGAGCAGATGGCCTGCCAAATGAGATATTTGGAGGCGAACTTCGACATTTTCTTCTTCTTAAATTTGTCGTCCACATCGAACTTGCTGTTGCCGGTGAAAAACTCCAACCCCGGAATTTGCTTAAAATCGGCTTTTATATACGTTTCGTCGTCCATCACACAGCAGCCATATTTTGTCAGCATCTTCTCGTAGAGCTTCCGTGCCCGAGTTTTAGCCGTCGATTGTTGCTGCTCATCGCGGTTTGGGAAGTTCTGTACCTTGTATGTATGTAGTCCAGCTCTCTTCTTTGCATTCTGGACGTAGCTCTGCGACATGCCGATCTTTTTAGCCAAATCACGGCTTGAGACGTTGGGATTTGCTTTAATCATCCGCTTCACCTTTCCCTCCGTCTTCTTGTTCTCCGGTCCCGGTTTTCTTCCAGCTCCTTTGCCGTGGTCCAACGTCAACCGCTCCTGGAACCGCTTCAACACTCTGGAGACGGTTGAATGGTGAATGTTCAACATTTTTCCCAACTGCCGGTGCGACAGGTCAGGAAATTCCAGGTGTTTGGAAAGAATTTGTTCTCTCAACTCGCGTTGGTTCAACTCCATTTTCGTTGAATCGAAAAACACGACTTCGAGTTTGACAGCATGTACACAATACACATCAATGAGAAAGTGTGCAAAATTTGGTTGATTTTTACCCAATGGTAAAAAAGTTATGCCCTGTTGAATGTGTCGCAATAATTTCGTGTTCGCCGTTTATGTAGGACACCTACTTCTCAGACAGGTTTCTCACGCCGTCGCTACCATTTCCAGGATTACAAAACAATGGTTTCGTGCTGACTGGATCATTGCATAAAACAATAAGATCAAGCTAAAAAAATCAACATTATGGGAGTTCTGGGTCTTCCCCATTCTGACTTGAATTGCAATGTGATAGTGAGAAGGCTTCTTCAGAATATATGAGAATTGTTAGGAGAACTTGAAGTGAATTTAAAAGAAAATTCTAAGAGAAATCTGAAGAAATTTTTCACGAACTTTTGAGGATAAATGCAATGGAATACTTAAGAGTATACCAAGAGAAGTTGGAAGAGCGTTTCATGGAAATTCAGAGGAGAATTCTCAGTGAATCAAATTCTGAGAATGGCTATACAAGAATTTTGTAAAGAGTTTCAATGAAAATTTCAAAGGAAATTCTTGCGGCATTCTGACCAGAACTCCAATCGAATCGAATCCATTTAAGACTTTCATAGCACTTCTAGAGATGATTTCAAGAGAATTCTTAGAAAAGTTTCAAGGCAATTCCGATGATAATTGCAAGGGGATTCAAATATATCTAAGTAAGCGTCGGCGTCGTCGGAATTTTCTGAAGCAAAAAATCTTTTATCTTATCTTATCTTATGGTCAATCATCCACTTTTGAGCTAAAATTCGGTCATTTTAAATCGTAAAAAAAAACTTTCAAATGGCGTAATCGATATTTTTCAACAAATCATAACTCAAGAACGTCACTCCCAATCGTAATGAAAAAAAAAATCCTTTTCATGAAAAATATACCAGGCAATTTTGGATAAGAATTTAAAAAAGTGATTAAAAATTAAATAATAAAAAAAAACACTTCAATATTTTCTGAATATTTTTTTATTAAAAAACTTGTGAAAAGAGCTACTTTTCATGAAAATTTCGAGTTGAAAATTTGAAAATTATCAAAAATCATAGAACAACAACTGTTAGTCGAAGGTTTGAACTTTTCGTTTATATATTTTTTTGTAAAATTCTGCATAGAAAACGATCTGAAACGAAAAAAAATGGTGATCTGTGCAAAATTTCACAAAAAAAAAAATACCAAAACAAAAAAAGTAGATAATCTAAATTGGCACCAGAAAAATTACTAACTAATCCAAAAATCCTAGTGTCCTTCTCTACTTCCTTCGAATTCCACTTTGGAGCTGGAATTCCTTGAAGGACATTTATTATTTCTCCCTTAGTAATTTTTAACTCCTTTTGCAAACTTTCAATGGTCTGGTAGAAACCAGCTTGAATTGACACTGTCTTCTATGTTTTCCTTGATTTGTTTTCCATCGATCTTGGTTTTCGTGCTGAGCACCAATGCTACCGATGCCAGGGTGGCAGCTCCTACACCTAGACCCTACGAACAAGGGTTAGTGAGCCAGATATGGCATATGAACCAGCTGTGACACAATCCTACATACGGAATGGTATTAGTTATTGGTCCTACAAATTTAAATCACATGGGTGCACTGATACATACCAAAACTGAAGCAAATTTTAAGTAGCGTCATAACTGGTGCACGTCCCCTACTCAGTAAAATGGAGAAACAACACCACTTCAACCAACTCCAAGCAAAGCCTTTTGCACTTTCATCATAAATTTGGCATGTTCATAAATTCCCTACAATTTCCATCGCGTGAAATGCCGAGTCGGTCCAAAGATACCAGCGACCAACACTAATCTTAACACCATAGATACACCTTCCAGTCTTAATCCCCAAACTAATAACAGCAACTCACCTTTAGGCAGCGGTTTCATGTCGACCGGCGCGGCACTATCGATCCGATCGCCGCCTCCACGATTGCTGGTAAGGCGAACCGGTGGTGCCGGTGGTTTGTCCTCTTCGCTGGACATTTTTCTCCTACTTAAGTTGTTGTTGTTGTTGTTGCTGTTGTTGATGGTGCGGCAACTGCTACTGCTGCCTGGAACCAGTTGAGAGGCCTTTCAATCTAGACGGGGACTATTTTTCTTCCTCGAAGATTAGATCCTACAGAGACACACACACATACACGTTTGCCTCACAAGCACACAGTTTGGCAATTTTCGTTGCTTGCTTCCCGTTATCAAATAAAGCGAAAACAGAAAAAAAAAACAGATAATGGACTACACCGATATCCACCCAAAAGAAACTTTTATTTTTATTTTAGGTTCACTTCACGTGATCCTTTCTTCTTTGCTTCGATTTTATCGACAAACACACCTACACTTGAGCACTGCCTATTGGAATGGATTCCTAGCCGAAAAAAGCGACAACAGAAAAACACACTAAATTACACCGAAAACCTTTCTGCGGGGTTAACTTTCTTCCACGATTACTTGATCGATTACTACGCTTTAGTTTACACTTCCTTCGGTAATCCTAGAATAGTTTTCATGTCCGGACAAGGGGCATTCCAATCGTTGTGAGTTCTGAAAGAGATGAGATAGGGTAATAATTAGTAACGGTTTATGTAACAATGCGCTAATAGAGTCGTTAATTATTGGGGTAAGGTGGGTCACGGGGCTAGATGGGTCAGATAGCACATATGTTAATTTATTTGATTGTTAAAATCAACAGGTTCAATGGAGCCCCAACGACAGCATTAAGCCTGTCGATGTTGACAGTCAATAAAATTAATAAATTAGGTAGATGATCCATCTTGCCCCACCTTACCTTACTATAACAGATGAATTCATTATCTTTACGGGAGCGCTAATTCACAGAAATTTTTATAGGGTTTTCGAAAAATTTCAATTATTTTGTATTGTAAAATAGAACAAAATAAGTCAGATAAAATTGCGGCTTGCCAAACTTTTTTTTTTCCTTTGGTTTGTTTTCCGTCGATCTTGTTTTCCGTGCTGAGCACCAATGCTACCGCTGCCAGCTCCCACACCTGGACCCTACCTATCGACCCATCAACTCATGAACCGGGGACCAACGGCTTTACTTCCCTGATCAGAGATGTTATGCCTCAGAACATCCCGGCGGCGTCGACTGGGATTGAACCACCCAGGCCTGCTGGGGTGAGAGGTAATCACGCTTACCACTACACCACCGGCGCCGCTAGCTTGCCGAACTTAATTTGATATTACAAGGGGAAATTAGGGGAAATGACGGCTTCGGCATGACAGACTATTTTCGGCAACCTAAATTGAAACACTATTTTCACTGGATTTTCTTACGAAAACACTTCGCTGAATGCATGCAAACGATTCTTTATGCTTTCAGCTTCAATCTGACTATATTTTTACCACTGAGAAAAAGCAATCTAGCAAGGTTTTCTTGAAATGCAACACACGCACTACAAATTGTAGCTGATTTCGAGTTGCCGATAATAGAACAGCAGATTTACATGCGGTTCAAATGGAACGGTTGCCGAAGAAAAACTGGTTGCCGACAATACTCGCTCTCACTAGAGAAGATTGGAGTTTTGTAAAAGCGTTTCAAAACAGTTTTTGACCATTCTTTCGACTGAAATTGTTAGAGCAGGTGGCAGCAAAAGATTGTAAACAAACCAATACTGCATATGTGTGCGTTCCTTAGAGAAAAAGGCTATAGAAAGAAGGTCGCTGCTTAGGTTGCCGAGAATACGTAAATTCCCCTAGTACATTATTTCATAACAATCATTTATACATAAAATCATAAAAATTAAAATGTACTTTTTTAAATGTTTATATATTTCGTTCGGAAAACTCTAGAGCAACATGTGAAGATGGCCTATATGCCAAATATTCAAAGTAATTCGACAGTGAGCGTTCGCAAGGGCCTAATTGTAATGATCGATTATCTTGGTCGATTTTCTCTTTTGTTTATAACTCGCTTGGATAGATAATTCTCGGTGCGTTTGCTGTTGCTTTTGATAGCCAATACAACCTGTTTCAGCACTGTGTTGAACAAATTTCAGAAAATTGCTTACCTGAGCCACAGAGCTGCCTGAGCTGTATAAATTTAAAGAGAAATACGATGAAGAGAATCGATCACAGCAGTTAGGCCCATATACATGCCCACTCGAATTGTTTGCATTTGACACATAGGCTCTTTTCACATGTTGCTCTAAAACTCATAGAAACTTACAACATTTAAAGTTACTGCTAGATTTGGCGTAAATTTATGGCCTTTTTCGCGGTGCTTTGAAATTCCCGGGATTGTTCCGATTTTCCCGGAAATCCATGCCATTATGCATGTGACGCGAGTTTCACGCTTGGAATTTTTCGGCAATTTTAACGATTTTCGGGCAATTGGCTGTACTACAATTTTAAAAATTTGATAGGGTTGGCGATTAGCAACAACATCTGAAATAGAAAACACACACTAAAGAAATACCTAATTTTACACGTGACGGAATCCGTGTCATGTAAAATTAAGTGCTCCGAGACTGAAAAGTTCGTTACTCGACGAAAAGTATGTTTGATTAAGCTGAATTTCGCGTCTATTGACTCAATTTTATGTCAAAATTGACGCTCGTATATGTCAGTCTCAGAGCACCTAAATTTACATGAGTTTTTCTAAGTGTGCAGTATGGTGTCGTTACCCTATAATGACACCAGCAGAGAGATCCAAAGACGCAATATGGCAGGAAATCGTGCTTACTTTGGAATTAGAAGGACGCTCCGATCGAATAAAGTTCGCAGCATCACGAAGTTCCAGCGATTCACAGAACGTCGCAGAAAGTCCTTTGCCGAACTTTCCTGACGTTTTATGGACTTTTATGATTTTTGTAGAGCTTGCCAGTAATTTTCAGAGCTAAATTGATGGCGATTCAATTTTGATATTATTGACAGAATTCTCTTGAAGTTCGTACAACTTACCAAGAGGCCATTGATATCGTAGAACTTCTCTGAAGATTGCAGTATTTCCATGAAGATTGTTGTACTATTCCAAAAGTTTGAAGAACTTCTACTGTAGGACCAAGGTGTTTTTCGATCGGATGGTGGGGTGCAGATCCCAAGTAACATTGCAAGTTTTATCAAGGTTTTAAAGCGTTCTACAAGTCCAATTAATGGTGCACAGAACCCTCATAAAACCAAAATTGTTACTTGGGATGGAAGACGGGAAATCAATGATGAAATGCATCAGCTGCTGGGAGCAGTACGCAGCTCTACGATGAACTCGAGTTTTGTTTCTTTCATAAAACGTGTTCATTGCATCATTCCTATAATGCCTAGCTAGGCTATCAGCACGAAACGAAAATGAAAAAGAAGCACGCTTAGAACGAAAGGCTGGATGTGGATTTTTTTCGTCGTTGCTTTGCTCATCACATTCGATGAATGTAACGTCGATTATCGAGTTGAAACGAAAGTTCACTATGGCTTTAGAACCCTTTCACCGACACTCTTTCACTGCTCTTTCAATTTGTTTAATATGCCTTATGTCCCGTTTTCGTTACTTATTTTTTAGATAAATATGTGGATGGAAAATAAATTAAACATGTTACGTATAATCTTCAAGTGTTTTCACGTGAGAAATGTTTAAAAAAATATTTTAATATTTACGTCATGTAACCTTTGTTGATGTGTTTCATGAAAGACGAAACTATCAAATTTAAGCATTCTTTTTTCTTCGTCCGCTTTACCAAAGCTTGAAGTTCAATAAAGCGACGGGAGAAAGAGAGACAAGTCGTTGAACATTTGTTTGTAGACGCCTACTGATGTTCTAGCTATTCGACTTCAACAAAAGAAGAAAGCTAGCAGTCTCTTGTCGTATAGATTTTGTCGATTGAAGCTGATATTGTGGCGCCCTGAGTGGAATTGAATGGAAATTACGAATCATCCTCTCTTTCTTTATAGAGATTAGTGACGTTTATCGCACATACACTAGCGGGTGCATCGCCATGTAAAGTTGTTTACTATTTTCCTCTGGCTCACCTAACAAATGTATATGTTAGATCTGTCAAAATGAGCTTGACAGTGATTTGTTATGTATTTTCCTCGGATTTTCACTAAAACGCTCTCACCAATACAACCTGACCTGAAAATCACACAGGTATTCCACAATAGACGCTCACATTCGCGAGGAGCCGTGAGATGATAATTTTTATTATTATTTATTAGTGACACTTTATCACTTCTGTGCCATTCGTGTCGTAGTGAGATGATAATGGGCCGTAAATTTATTTAGTGAATTGTTCAGAAAACAAATATTTTTAAATAACCTCGTAATGATTAAGGAAATTTGCGAATATATAACTGGATTTGTTCAATATGACCAAAACGAAGATAAGTTAGTTAGTTAGTTAGTTATCTATATTAAGGAGACTTTCAGCTGGTTAGTCTCCGGGAACACCAAACGAAGATAAAAATAGGAACCTTGATGTTTAAAATAGCTTTTAATTTGTTAGCACTTATGCATGGCGGACGTCACTTATGTGTAGAGAGATGAACTAGCCCAAGGCTAAAAATCTCTTAAATAAAGTTAAAAAAAAAAAAAACTTATGTGTAGAAACATTGAAAAAAAAAATCACTGTTCCTCGGAAAATGCCTGGCTGCATGTTTCAAAATAAGATTTTGCCTGCATGCTTCAAAATCAGATTTTGCACAATTTTGAAGTGATTTTTTATGTCATTTAGAACTCGAATACGATGAAAAGTGAAAATTGACCATGGTGGCGTTTACGTCACTTTGTCATACCACGGCAGTTGAGTACTGAGAAATATATACGAAAGGCATCAATTCTTGACATTGTAATTATTTTATCCGGATAAAAAATGAGGCTGTCCACAGTGCGACGTGTTGGGTGTAACTTGAAAAGTGTCAACATAACAAAGATTTAGATTTGTATACATTTATACATTTAGGAAATATATACAATTGAGGCATTCCACGAAGGTTCGCAAATCGATCCTGACCGATCATTTCCAATTACGCTGAAACTTTGCACAGTTGTTCCTTTTTAGTAAAGGCGCCATTTTGTGCTCTCAGTTTTTCATATTGAATTACGACTACTTTTTGAAAAGGGCCTGTGTAAAAATAGTACTAATGAGTTTAAAAATATATATTGCCGAAACGCTTTGTTCGATTGATTTGAGGTCTAGAGCAAAGTTGTAGATATTATTTTGGCAATTGTGTAAAAAATATACACTGTAAAAAATTTCATTTGTATCAATGAAAAAAATTATATTTATTATTAAAAAAGTTAATTTCTCAAAAAGTACATTTTCGTTTTAAGCCTCATTGAAGCTCATAATGTTTGCTACTAACTGGCAAAGTTTGGTGATGGTAAATTCAAAAACAAAAAAGTTATGGTTTTTTGAATATTTCACGATTTTTACATTTTCATTAAAAACACATTTTTTTTAACCGTGTATATTTGTTCAAGAATTGCATTTTAATTTTGCACAACTTTTCCCAAGACACCATAGCAATCAAGCAAGCCGTTTTTGCAATATAGATATGTTTATAGAAATATATTTTTTTTTCATTGAAACAAACGA